TATATGTTTGGATTTTGTCTCTGGTTCCTATCTCGGAGCTCATGATAACCTTGTCATTCCTGAGTGACAAGGGTCTTCTCTAATTCATAAACCTCTCTGATCACAACCTAAGTAGTGCTACTTAATGACTTAAGGTGGGGCCCCAGATCAGCCCAGAATTAAGCTGGTCTCCTGAAAGCCCAAGGTGAGAGGGTCAGAGAACTGGAACCTTCAACCCACCACCGCCGTCCAGTATGGGGCAGGAGAGTGAGGGGGGATTAAAACCCATTTAAAACAACTCTTGCCAGTCCCAGAGATTCACACCTATAATCCTAGCACTGTGGGAAGCTGAAGCAGGAGGATCACAACTTGGAGACCAATATGAGCTACACGAGTAAGACTCTATCCCACCCCCATCCCCCAAGAAAAAGCTTCTGGAACAAGGAAAGGTCTGCGCTTCCAGATGGGGGTGATGATGAAAAGATGGCACCCAGATAGGAGGGGACAGGAGGCACTACGCCCACCCCATACCTTGCCTGTGCTCTCTTCATCTGATTATGTATTTTTTTTTAATTTTATTTATTTATTTTGTGTGTGTGTGGCCAGCTCAGCCCACCAGGGGGCGGGGCTGGCTGGCATGTGGTGCTGGGGGATCGAACCGCGGTCCCTGTGCTTTGCTTGGCCCAGCTTGTTCTAAATAGGTGCTTTAGACCACTGAGCCATCTCACCAGCCCTGATTATGTATTTGGACCCTTCACAATATTCTTCACAGCAAACCAGGAAACTCAAGTACTTCCTGAGTCCTGTGAGCCACCCAAGCAAACTATCAAAACCAAGGAGGCAGCTCGGGGGAACGCTGACTTACAGCTAGTCAGTCACAGCCTGGGGCTTGAAGTGGGGACACTGCTGTGGGACTGAGCCCTTAACCTGTGGGGTCTGACACTAACACCAGGTAGTCTGCATCAAAACTGAATTCTAGGACACCCATGTGACGTGCAGAAAGACAGAGACTTGACTGGTGTGCAGGAGGAAAGTGAGGAACCCTCATACAAGTATTCTTCTACGGGTGGAATTTTTTTAAATCAACTTACTCTTTCCTTTGTAATGTTATATTTTCTAAACTAACACAAGAAGTTTATACTCAGGAAAGATCAGTGCCGTAGAGGTTTGGCTGTGGTTTCGTTCTGTGGTACTGAGACTAAACCTGAGGCCTTCACACTGAGCTGCATCCCCAGCCCCTTCTATGTTTGGAAACAGGTTGCCACTATCTTGCTAACTTGCGTGGGCTGGGCTCACACTTGCAAGCCTCCTGCCTCAGCCTCCCAGGTCCCCAGAGCACAGGCGTGGGTCAGCTCGAGGGCTGGATGCTGTTCTTGGTCAATGTTGCAGCATCTGGGAAAGGAGTCCTTCCCATGGTTAGGCCTCAAAGAGTTCTGAGATGGGCACATGACAGGACTAGCCCCAGCGCAACAAAAGCTCATTTTCCCTTTGTCTGAAGCTCTGGGGCTCCCGGCACCTGTGTCCTAACAGTTATTTTTCTTGCTTAAGTTAGACTTTATATATTCCCTGAAGTGGAAGTGTGCTGGTATTATTATGATACAAATAGGCACAGCTGTAATAACTATTTATGAGCCAGGTACTTGTCTACACGTTTTACACTTGTCTATACTATTTACAGTTTCAATTTTTGAGTATCATAAGGCCACAATCAATGTGCTTTTCAATTAATTTGAAGGCACATCTTAATTTTTTTTTTTTTTTTAATTTTAGGGAAGGGTCTACAGGGTATTCAGGGTCTCACTACTAGATCGGACTCGTAGTTTACAGCCTCCCAAGAGCTGGGATTACAAGAGTGAGCCACCACACCCAGTCTCAGTTGCCAGATCAGCGTACCCCAGGGGCGGGGTCAGCACATGTTAATTTATTTTTGTTTATTTATTTATTTATTTATTTATTTATTTTAAATTTTTGGCAGAACCAGGGATTGAACTCAGGCCCTTGCGCTTACCAGGGAAGCGCTTATCCCACTGAGCCATCTCCCTGACCCCTTAATTTATACACAGGATAATTTCAGCCCTGGATTTTTGAAACAAGATATATAAATAGATAGATATAGATATAGATGTGCATATATTCTTTCCCATTCATTTTTCATTATGTATTGGCAAATAAAGGAATCTAGTTTCAAAGTTTGGCAACCTTTTTTTTCTTTTTTCTTTTTTTTTTTGCAGTACTGGGGATTGAAGTCAGGACCCTGTGCTTGCCAGGCAAGTGCTTATTCTACTGAGCTATCTCCCTGGCCCCTTGGCAAACATTTTGGTTTTAAGATTTTTTTTTTTTTTTTTTATTCTTTCAATACAGGGTCCCGCTGTACAGTTCAGACTCTAGTGTTCTTCCTATCTCAGCTTCCCCAGCACTGGGACTATGGGTGTGTGCCACCATGCCCAATTTTGGGGTCAGCACAGCATATGGTACAAGGGATCAAACTCAGGACCTTGCGCTTGCCAGCCAGGCGCTGCCATCAAGTTATCTCCCCAGCCCAAGCTTTGAGACTTCATGTTTATTGGATCCTATTTCCAGAGGCTTAACATAAATAGTATTCAGCCCATTGCTCACTGATGAACTGAAAACATGGTAAATTACAAGCACTTTTTTTAATAAAAAAGTTTTATAACTTTTGGAATCTTTTAAGGCTGAGACAGGAGGATAACTCAGAGTTCAAGACCCGCCTGGGATACAAAGTGAGCTTACACAGCCAACCTAAACTGCATAACAAGACCCTGTTTCAAAAAAAGAAAAAAAAAAAAAAAAACAGCTCACATTATTTCAGACAGAAGTTCAATCAACACAATGATGTAATTCTTAGTGTGTTTATTTCTCTCTGAGATCTATGCTATTTCCCTTTTCAGAAAGTTACTCCAATCTAATAACTTCTTGGAGGGCAGGGGAATCACGCTATCTGCTTTTTTGCCCTATTGAAATAATACTGAAATATTCTCCAGTTGAGTACAAAATAAAACCTCAAACTCAATCTAACACCATGCTAATCTTGCGGTCTGACAATGCACCTTTTTTTTTCTATCTCTATTTATTACTCGTCTTTGCAACATGTCCTCATGTGTTGTCCAGACTGTCTTTGACCTCACTATACAACCCAGGCTGGCCTCAAACTCACCTTGAGTCTCCTCCCTCAGCCTCCTGAGTGCTGGAATTACAGGCACGCACCACCATGCGAGGCTGACAGCACATCATTTAAACCAACAGGAATCTCTCGAGAGAAAAATTATGGTAAGAAAAGCCACCCACTGATGAATGCCCCGCTGGAAGGAGCAAGAACCTCGGTGTGCAGCCGGTTCCCAGGGTGGTACCCTGGCAGCGTAGGACAGTGACCTGTACTGTGAGCCTGGACAGCTGAAGCCAGGAAACAAAAATAATGTTCCACAATCCTCTGCAAATTGGAATGCTGACAGCTGGGAAAACTAATCCCCCACTAACGTTAATGTACTCGAGATGGATTCCAAAAACTTTGTTATCTTCAGGCAGGAATATAAGCTCAGCGGCAGAGTACAGGCTCAGCACACAAGAGAACCCAGCCAGGTTCAACCCTCAGGATAAAAAAAAAAAAAAACAAAACAACTTCTAAAACTGGTACTAGGACAGAAAATCACATATTCATTCAATCCTGGTGAGTAAGCTAAGTCTACCTTACCGTAGTGGCATGGGTTACCCTCCAAGGACAGATAAGTTGAAGAACAAAACCCAAGTAAACATTCATTTGCTAAACACACTGAGGAAGAACCCTAAGACAGACAGACCTACCAGCACAGGAAAGTAAGAAACGTGAAGATCAAGAGAAACACCGTCAGAAGGCTCAGGGAATCGGGAAATTATTATTACCAAACAGCCAGCTAGCTGAGGCTTCAACTCTCAGCTCCCCCAGGGACAGCACACTTATTCTAAGCAGCTCCGCTGTCACAAAAGCCTCCCAGCCAGCTCTTGTGGAATGGGGAAGCGCAAATGAGGAGTACTACTCGACTTCTCCCGTGACGCCCTGCCTGCTGGCTTCTGAGGCCACAGACTCTGCTGCTAACCTCCTGTGGAGGAGCAGTAGAGCAGCAGATGTACAGCAGGATGCAGAACTCACCAAGGGCGTGGCTGCAGCTCCGGCAGGACTCGGTGAGATTGACGATGATCTGCTGCAGGTCGGCTCTGGGGGGCGTGGGAGAGGGGTTGGGGTTTTTCCAGCCATTGCATTTACAGGACTCCTCAGCCTAAAAAAAGGAATAACAAAAAATCTGTGATTATGTGACCCGTGAATCCCACACACTGGTTAGACATCGACTGATCCTCTCCCCACAGCACACTTCAACTGTGTGATCTTCTACCTATACAAAAGAAACAGAAGCATCGGCCATAAAGATGCCAGAACTGCGCTACCAGGACAGACAATTACTATCCAGACCCCAGTCTGCCAGCTAATCCTTAAAAGCTGAACTCCCCTCTTTGCAAGTAGGCCAGTCTGAACCCCTGTATCACAGCGTGCCCCCTCCAGCTATCTAAGCTGGACGCATTCCCTACCTTCTTTCTGACTTTCCAGTAAAATGGATTTTCCTGTAGAAAAAGAAGGCAAAGGGAACCCAGAAAAGAAGGGACAGAGATGTGGCCCAGTCCCAGAGCATTCGCCTAGCACACCCAAGGCCCAGTATTCAGTCTCTAGCAGAGGCTGGGGGAGGGCCACACCACTGCCCCAGAGGGGTCCATGGAGTGGCCATTTTGGAAAGATTCCACTGCCAAAGTTTCCCAAGACAAGGAGCGCACGCCCAAGGCCCCGCACACATGGCTAGGGTTGGGCTTTGCACACGCCTGGGCTCCAGCTCCAGCTCTGCCCCAGGACGGAAGGGAAACACAGGAGCCCAACGCAGGCTGTCACTGAGATGGGGTGGGCAGACGGAGCCAAAGCCACATGCGCAGGCTCCCCCAGCAAGCCTTTTCTGGACACCTGGATTTAGAAAGAGAGAAGACAGCATCAGGTATCTGGGGTTCCTACCTATGTGTCTTTCCCAGGTTTCCTGTACTAGAATACACTATTATGTTAGCAATACTTAGCAGACATCTTCCTTAATGCTGGGCGTGGTGGTACACACCTGTGACCTCAGCACTGCAGAGGCTGAAGCAGGATTGCCGCCAATCAGAAGCCAGGCTGGGCTACATAGTGAGTTTAAAGCTATCCTGAGCTACACAGCAAGACTCTATCTCAAAAAATGAAAAATCTGGAGCTGGGGAGATGGCTCAGTGGAATAAGCGCTTCCCTGGCAAGCACAAGGGCCTGAGTTCAATCCCCAATTCC